GGGTGAGTACTTCTTGACTTCATTATCTCTAACAACCTAGATATTCTGAATCGGGGAACTAAAAACCTACTCTTTCAACAAAAAATAGGCAAGAGCAAGAACGTATTGATGTAACTCTGGCGTCTCTCGCAATAAGCTCTCAGATACGTAACTGGAGGGTAGATGATGAAAAGAGTCTCTCGGATCACCGGTATATTCAAATGGAAATCAAACATATTGATAAACCAGAGCGTATATATCGCAACCCTCGTAATACTGGCTGGGAGGAATACCGACAGGACCTTAGACTAAACCTAACTAACATTAAAACGGTAGTTGAAACAAGAACAGATATAGAGGAGGTATGCCTGCAATTGCAGGAAGCCATCCAAACCTCATATCAAACAAAAGCGGTGGAATGCAAACCTCCAAATGCTCAAAAATACACGAAAGCTTTTTAATAAAGCAAAGACAACCGGAAACTGGGAAGAAAACCCTAACGGAATACAACAAAGAAATCCGGAAAGCAAAAATAGAATCCTGGAAGAAGGTCTGCGGCGAAGTTGAAAAAGTTGAAAACACTTCCGAAAGAGCCTGTTTCCAGAAAATTCTAGCTAAGAGTCCGATAGAACCGACAGGAACCATTGAAAGACCTGACGGGAACTTCACAAAAAATGGGAAAGAAACATTAAGTTTAGTTCTTCAAACCCATTTTCCAGACTCCACCGAAGTGAACCCTGAAAAAGGAGGATTGGGAACTTGCTAAAAAAAGCGGTAACTTACGATGGGATAAAATGAGAAATAGGCTCAATTGACAGCTTCAAATCACCGGGACCAGATGAAATAACACCAGGTTCTACAAGAGGCGGTGGACCTTGTCGCACCACACCTCTGCAGACTGTGCAGAGTCGGCCTGGCAACAGGCTATATTCCTGGGTCTTGGAGGATCATGTGTGCTGTCCCTCGGTTTGGTCTTACTTAGAGAAATATTCCTGGGTCCTGGAGAGAAGTAAAAGCGGTCTTTATCCCAAAACCTGGCAGAGACCCATCTCAGGCAGGTCATACAGACCGATCAGCTTATCATCCTTTATGTTAAAGGTGACAGACAAACTAGTTGAAAAGCATACATCAGGGAAACCTCACTGAAACAGAGGCCACTCCACCAAAACCAACATGCCTTCCAACCAGGTAAATCATGCGAATCAGCCCCACACCAACAGGTGACAAGAGTAGAGAACTCACTAGAAAACAAGGAAATCGCACTAGTGGCATTCCTTGACATAGAAGGAGCCTTTGACCACACCTCCTTCAACTCCATAGTAAGAGCTGCTGGGCAACATGCGATTAATGATACCACATGCAGATGGATCAAATCCATGCTAAAACACAGGACTATAAACTCGACTATTGCTGAAACCTCTATTAAAGTAACCGCGACAAAAGGATGCCCACAGGGCTGTCAGGTACTTTCACCACTCTTGTGGAATCTAGTCGTGTTTGAACTTCTGAGGAAACTAAACGATCAAGGATACTTCACCCTAGGCTACGCAGATGACATAGTCGTTGTCATTAAGGGAGAATTTACCAAGACGGTATCAAACCTCATGCAGGACTATAAACTCGACTATTGCTGAAACCTCTATTAAAGTAACCGCGACAAAAGGATGCCCACAGGGCTGTCAGGTACTTTCACCACTCTTGTGGAATCTAGTCGTGTTTGAACTTCTGAGGAAACTAAACGATCAAGGATACTTCACCCTAGGCTACGCAGATGACATAGTCGTTGTCATTAAGGGAGAATTTACCAAGACGGTATCAAACCTCATGCAGGATGCTGTCCCAGTAGGAAATACCGGGGCAACACCTAAACAAGAAATTGTCTGGTTTACTGACGGCTCCAAAACAGAAACTGGAACCGGCGCTGGAATATATGGACAAACTCCTAGATGCAACATCAGTCAACCTCTGGGAAAATACACTACTGTATTCCAAGCAAAAATATATGCCATCGACTCCTGTTTGAGAGAAAACCTAAGGAGAGTCAAGCGTTGATCAAAGCACTCAACAGCTTTGAAATAAAATCCAAACTTGTCTGGGAATGCTTCAGGGGTTATTCTAAGGATTTTTTCCCACTGCACATAAAGGAAATAAATCACTACACGTACTACCATGATATGTATTACTAACACATTCACATAATATTTTTTCTATTTTGGTTTCATAATAACTCATGAAATGCGTTTAACTTATATGGTGTGTTATGAAAACAGTGGCGGCTAGTGCCATCCTAGTTTGGTTGTGAACTCTCCAAAAAATTGCGCCGCAGCCGAAATTTTTTTGGGGGTGCCACACCCTTTTTTACATTTATCACCACATTCCTTATCTGTCAGAGTGGGATCCTTGACAAGCCACAAGCCACTATGGTTTGGGTTAGTTTGACTCTGTACTGACGCTCATTTAAGCATCAGCACAGAGTCAAGAAAACAGCACAGGCCAAACAGGAAAGATGGTACCAAGGTATTTTTGCAAACGGAGAATTTTAGGTGGTGCTGGGGGCAAATTAGCAATACATTTTAGAGTAAATGTGTTAATAGTGCTATTGTATTTTCATGTATAACATATTATGTCAACTAAATTATTTGTTCGTGATAAATGAAAACTACACAGATTTTAATTTCCCACTACACAAGTTACTATTCCTACTGCACATTTTGTGTCCAACTGCACGTTAGAATAACCTCTGGAATGCTTGGAAAACCTCAAAAACCTAAGTATCGCCAACAAGGTAATGGGTACCAGTGCATAAAGGAATTGAAGGAAATGAATAAAAGCAGATGCTCTGCCAAGAGAAGGATCGGCAACCAGTTATACTGGTCCTAAACCGGCAATTGGGACCACAAAATTGTCGGTAAGAACAAAAATAAACCTATGTGTGTAGAAAACACAAAGCCTACTGGGAAACTCTTCTGAAGCTCAGATACAGTAAGCTAATGGTGCAACAACCATCACCTCAACTTACTGAAGAAATCCTACAACTAAATAGGAATCAAATCAGGCTAATAACTGGACACTGTAGCCTGAGGAAACACCTTCACACAATAGGCATCCTCCAAGAAGAACCCATATGCATGCAGACTTTGTGACGAGGAGGATGGAGAAGACCCTATCTCTAAACTCACCAAAAGTAACAAGGTGAAGAGGCTCCTAAACCTAATTAAGGTCACGAAACTTTTCACTGACTAAACAGACGAACAGGACAATAAAATAAGCCGACGCCTGCAGTGTTGGGGCCACCTAACCCGGCCTGTTCATTCTGCATCTCAACTATAACCAACCAACCAAAGCTGCTGTCGGCGTTGATCACCATTTGGACCCTTTAACGCACCAGAAACCACCATAGTTTTATTGGCTCGAGGAAAAGTTTTCAATAGGTCTGGCATGGCACGTAGACTACAATCAAGGAACTGGGAATTGGAAAGCAAGGAAACAGTCGCAAATTAATGTCTGTACACGGCCAACGATGTCTGACCGGGAAATTTCATGATCTTCAGTCAAAGGATCCCACCCCACTAATCCTATGGAAAATGGATTTCGGTGAAATTGTCTGAAATTTGGATATGTTGACATTGCCAGGACACCATTATCATCAGTATATTGAAGCTCACAAATAGTTGTTAGGTATGCATACCTTGCTCTTGGCTGAATCATTAGTTCTGAATTGAATTGAACGCCCAACGGCAGGATTTCTTCTATCGAATTGAGTACGGCTCCTACAAATATAGATAATACGCTTCGCGCAATGACACATTTTTGCTTGACTCTGGTTTCGGTTGTGACTTTAAAGGTTTCTCCGGTCTGTTGTTGGTAAGGACAGGGTCGTTTATGGTGTCATACAGTAAACGAAATATGTTGATGAATTTAGGCGGATGCGCAATGCCAGTATTTTACAAAAAGCGATTTGATAGAGTCAAATAAGGTTTATAAATGCCATATAGAAATGTTTGTTTTGCTGTTTCGATTTTTCTTTGTTTTGCAATAAGGATCTATGTATGCGTTCCACCAGCGCATGGCAGCTCACCTTATAAAGCTCCGCAGGGACTGCGCATAACACAGCAGCTTCATTATTCTTTAGTTGGCTTATAGTTTTTTCAACCTCTTGATGGAAAGAAACGTCACTCAGATGGTTTTGAATGGGTTTTTGGAGGACTTTAATATGAATATCTCATCGTTTACGTTGGAATCTCTCTTCAAGAGTTTATGAAAATGCTCCTTCCATCGAGACCTATTGTTTGCCCAACAGTTCTGAGTCTACGGAAGGAATTCGGACGTAAATAAGCGATGTTGTCACGTTTAATTATAAAAAAGCGAAAATACTAGGAATACCTAGTTCATTTGAAAATCCATTTTTTTATAACAAAATATAGATAACAATAATAAAACGCTAAATATTTTAGCGTTTAGTTGTTGTTCGATCTATTCTCATTTTAATACCTGATTTCTTCAATTTGGTCTGTTGTAAAAGATAAACATTCTCTAAAGATACCATCAGCTTTTGTCAATTTGGCAAGCATCCGGCCGGGATGAACTTGATTGGTGGAGTTTTTGGCACGATTGCCGTTGCCACGGGGAACCATGCGGTTGTCAATGTCATTGTATTCTCCCATCTTGAAATATCGATTTATATTGAAATATCCAGTGGCGGGGGTTTGGTCATTGTCGATTTTCATGTAAGAGTTGCAATAAGATAACACCTCCAAAAAGTTCCGCACGCAGCTGGGTATTTTATGAATGAAATCAGCCATTTTTTTTACAACTGCATTCCCCTCACCGTTGCCGTGTAGACTTATAATCGCTGGGCAGACATTAATAGAAGCTTGATTTTTGAGAAGCTGTGTCCCTAGATGTAAGGGGATTTGAACCTTTTGTAGGGACCGTAAGTTGCTTTTGTGGCGCTGAAAAATGCTCTGGTAGGTTCGTGGCTGCTTGCTAAATGATTAAATTCAATTGAAACAGGTTATTTTTTGTAAACTTTTTATTTGCAAAATAAACGACGTATTATTATTATCATTATCATTAAAAAGATTTTCAACCTGGTGTAGGTCGAGACGACAGAACATATTTAGCGAATTCGTAGCCCTATCCAATGTGACAAAAAACAATACCTATGTTAAAAAAACAAAACATGAATGCTCCTAGTAAAATACAATTGAATGTTCCAAAGAGAGGGTTAATCGCAAATTATTATTTATTTTTTTTTAGAAACTTCGCCAGCAAATTGCCTAAAAGACTGCGATAATATATAATATAGGATATAAATATCTTTAACATTAGCTGGACGGCCTAAAATTCTAATTTAATATCACATTAGCGAGATTTGTGCTTGTCTTCGTCCACTATTTTATTTTTCTGAATCTCTCTTTTATTAATTATAGTTTTGTAGGTTTCATTACTAGGCACTCTCACATACTTAAAGTAAATTCCTGAAAATATTTTTTTGTTGTTGAGAAGTCAACAGTTCATTTATTCTGAGACGTTAATGTTTTCTATACATTCATCTAACATTTCGTCAAAGTCCATTTGGCTTCTGCTTTTGACTATTTCGGAAACACGTAGTGGCTTTTTATTGGAAATTTCTGTCTTATTTGTTTTGTTTTCGGCTTCCTTTGGTTCAAACGCGAAATTCTTCATTCCTTGTGAGCACTCCGTATCTCTGAAAAAAGATTAGAATGTTAACTTTTCAATAAAAACTGTTTTTTTAAAGTTAGTCATTTATTAACTTTAGCTTCCATAGTAATTTATCAATGCCGTATACAGGGTGATCCAAATTCGATGCTCTCCATTGGGATCTCGGAAACGGTAAGAGAAACGAGGTTGGTATAATGAAGGAAAAGTTGCGCAATTTCTTGTTGGACGCCCGCCGAATATGACGTTATTCACTACAACCAGCAAACACGTCAGATTGTCGTTGCCATTGTTGATTTCCAAGATTGTCTTTAGAAACCTGGTTTTTATCATTGTTTATGTAATGTTTTTTTTGTTGTATTTTTTGCACTACGGTTATAAAATTAATGTAATTTTTCAATTATTAGTACGTTCAGTTATACAACAACAGTTTTTGTAGTGTTTTGAAACGGATCTATGCCCTGGCGTCATTTTAGTTTTAAGAAATCACGACAGGCAAGGCAACGTCGCATTGTCTAATGCCTGCTGATAAATATCATAACCTTTAATCTCATACTTTCTTTTGTTTTTCAAATTTTGTGTTCTGAAACTGTGTTTCGTTACTTGGAATATGAAAGTTCCCATACGCAACTAACCTGAAGTATAACAAAGCCATATTTGTTAATCTTTTTGAAAATGTTGACCGCGTGTTAAACGAACAAGGTGCAAATAACGAATGGGGTTTTTCGTCATTTTCACTTTTTAGAGCTTAGACAAGAAAAGCATCAAAGATGTGCGTCAGAGTCATTATGAACAATTCTTATTGGTTGGATAGGTATCTACGTCATACACTGGCGCCATTCCAATGCGTTTAAATACCTATGTACTATAGCAAAATAGCATTTTAAAAATAATTTTTATTACAATAAATGACATTTTAAAGCCCACTGGAAGCAAGGGTATTTTTATTTTGGTTCGTACATTGAAAATCATTTGAATATGCTGAAACTCCCCATTGTCAAAGCCGCGTTGCTGTTGCTCCTCAAAAATGCTGAAGCAGAGTGGCCGATTTACCCAGATCTGAAATAGGACAGAAAACGTTTCTGTCGTTGTTTTTCCATCACCGATTGGTTTTCTTTGTGAAGTGTCTTCTTCTTATACCTTTTCAGTCATCCTCTGTATGTATTGTATGTGTTGGAGGTGTCACTACGACCTAAGTTGATCTATTGTACCCCTCTGTCTGCTGCTAAGTTCAGGTTTTTTGCTCAAAGCAGCCCCTCTATAGTCCTAATCTCAGGATATCCAGCGGTTCAAGAGATGAAGTGTCTTCTAACTGTATAAGGGAATGACCCAGATTTTTCATCTTTAAATGACTAACAACATTCCAGTTCAGTAGAAGGTGATGAGGTGTCTACTGTTCATCTTCACAGAATCTACACGCACTGCTTTCTTCCAACTCCAATTTCCGTAGGTGTTCCTTACGTCTACAGTGTCCCGAGAGAAACCCTTGAAAGTGCACATCATCGAGGCCGCAGAATTTTTCTGGCCCAGTAAAGAAAATAGAAGCTCCCTTTATCGCAAGTGTGTCTGCGCATTCGTTGCTCTCAACCCCCATTTATCCAGGCGCCCAGAGTAGAATGGCATTCTCTTTTCCGAACTCAGTTTCTGTCGATATTCCCCTACTAGCTTAGAATTGTTGACCGCGGAGCCCAATAGTGGCTTGGCTGTCAGACATTATTGAAATCTCTCGTTTTCAATAGCCCCTGAGGTCCAGGTTGAACTGCACGCATCTTCGGATTGCATACAATTCCGCTTGAAGGGTGCTTGGTGATCCGTGGCCCGAATACTCCTGCTCTAATTCTCTCAGCAGTCTTAGAACCGTCTGTATACCATTTGATGGTGTTTGCTCTTAGGGACTGAATACATTCTATGTTCCATTTTTTTTTCGTACTAAGCTCGATTGAAAAGTTTTTATCGAAGCTGAATTTTTTAACAATCGTATCTTTCGATAGATCCATAAGGTGTGCACAGTTTGTGATAGATAAAGTTCTGGCAGAGTGTGTTGTTCCTTGAATGCCGATCTTCCCCAGTCTAAGATATGATTCACTGGGCACCCGGTTAACTATTATGTGGATTGGTGTTAGAACTTCTACTGCCGCAGTTGGACCTTATCTCATTACTACTGTTGTACAGAGACGAGTCAGTCTTTGTACTTTTCCTAGGGGTTTCCTGGCTGTTGCCAGCTGGGTTCAGCTATGGCAAGCTACTGCTCCGTGAGTGGCATACATTTATCTCAGGGTTGATGGGCTACAGCCCAACGTTTTACCTGCAATATTTTTTCAGAAGACGAGTGCGGAGATTGCTTTGTTCCTCATATTCTCTACGTGTCAGTTCGAGCCAGAGAAGTTTAGAATCATAGGGTTATCCATAGAAAGTTTGCTTCTATTAAGGCGAATGTTTCTCAGGTTTGGAAAGTCAGCTTTCCGTTTACTGTACGATATTTCTTTTAACTTTTAGGCCCGGTTTATTCATGTTCAGATACATTTGCTGGTAACTATCTGCAAGATAAATTTACCGTTCTATAATTCCATTGGTCGGCGGGCGGATAACTGGCCGACCAATGGGATTACAGATTGAGTTTTTATCTATCAGATTGCATACCCAACAGTTAATCAGAAGGTGAATAAACCAACCCTTAAGCCCAGTTGTACAATCTTGGTTCAAAGCAGATTTCAGTTGAACTCGACTGGTACTTGAACTTTTCCATTTGAAATGCATTGCTGTCAAAATTGAAATTTGATTAATAGCTGACAGCAATGTATTTTAAATGAGAGAGCTCAAATACCAGTCGAGTTCAGTTGAACTTTGCTTTGAACCAAGATTGTACAACTGGGCCTTAGTGTAATTAAGCCGTTCCTGTGATTTTTCTTATTAAAGCAAGCGATGTAACCTGCTGACAAATTTTGCTAAATGTGCCAGGACGGTTGACCCAGCTATTTCTTCAACGTTCATTACTTTTCATCTAGACATTAGGACGTCATCAATTTAGTGCCATACGTACTTCAGAATTCGCCATCTCCCGGAGAACTGGTACACATATTAATCAACATTCCTGCGGTTAGTTCAACACAGCGGTAACGTGAAATAAGCAATTCCTTGAAATTGGATCACGTAATTTCAGATATCACACCTGGAAAGCCACTGAAAGCACTTCGTTCCAAAGCAAGGCAATTATAAGAACACCGTATTCTAATAGATTGCCTGCCAAACAAAGCTCATCCCTAGAACACCAGAAGAGAGAGTCAGGGTCATCCTCTGAATTGAATTTGGGAAGTGAAATAGCTGCCACATTTTTAAGGCTGATCGCTGATGTTTGAACGGCTTCAATTAATTCAAGTAGATTGCGGTTTTGCAATTCGAAAGGTTTACTCCATTCACCTTGAGAAATTATATTTTGTGCAGGTGAATCAGATCCAGCAAATAGAGTATACAACTTAACAGAACCCTAATTCGAAAAAAGAAATACACCACTAAGTAATTGAGCAAGTTATGACACAACTTTCGAACAATAAAATACGAGCCACAGCGAATTCATGAGGCAACTCAAGCAATTATATCCGTCCGCCCTCTTCTTCCCAGTATGCCTTACTCGTGACTACACTTGCAAAAAAAGAAGAAGATCGTCACTTGTATTTCAAGTAAGCAAAAGGTGGCCAGACTTATCCAGCCGCCAGAATGCAGAACGTCACTACAGCAGCCAACGAGCCAGAAAAGTCCGAATTTGGCCCACAGCGCTCCAGAATCCAGGAGAATTACCTCCAGCTACCAGCTAGAAACAACTATAGTGTAAATTATACCCATTTCGAATGACGTCATTCAGGTGAGAAAAACGTATGACGTAACCCATAACTGATTGACAGTGGCAGACAAATATGAAGGATGATAACCTTTATACAATGCCTTCATAAAACGAACAATGGTCAGACACCAACTTTTTCAAAAATTTGCTGTCTCCGCTGCTCAGCTACTGAAGCAATACTCGACTATGTCGACCAGCTAGAAACAACCACTCCGACGACAAACACCACAGTCGGCATTGAATCACTTCGAAAAATAATATTACAGCCACAGAAGTCCCTTCCATTTATGGTCATTCGATCTAAGGAAGTCTTGTGTACACCATTCTATGCATTGTGCATCAGCCGTAGAGACCCAGAACTTTTTTACAGTGCCCTACAACCTGAAAGCGTCCATATCCACTACGTAGAGCTCCACAAACCAAGAGAAGTGAGAGAATGTTACTTAGGAAGCGTTTCAGGTCCGAATCCACTCCAGAGGAGAGAATACCCAATGAACAAGATTGTTTAGCCAAACTACAGTGACAAAATTGATCAGGGGCTTGTCAGATGTATTTATTAAACCTCTAATTAGGTTGACACATTTTTTGTAGGTGTTCAACCGACTAGCGTGGATTAGACCCAATTTCAACCAACTGAAGCAACGTAATCCGCATTCCATTACACCTAGGTTAACACCTCATTCTTGCTTCACCCATAAGATAAAATTTATGAGACTTTCGGCTTCAGAAAAGACAAAAGTTGAAATATAGCAATAAACAAATTTATTTTACCTCATCATGATATCAGCTTCTCCGGTTGCTTTCTCGTGTGATGTTTCTTCCAAATCCCAATTGATATGTTTATCAAATACAGCAAAGTCATCGTTAATGCTTGGCAATTGTTTGATTATTTCCTTTTCGTCTTCGTCATTACACTTCGCCAGTTTTTTAGATGGTTTGGAGGACGGATTCAATGGTCGTTTCTTTTTTCCTTTTTTTACTTCCATTTTAGTTTCTGCGGTATTTTCCAAACATTCATTGAAAAGTTCATCAAAGTCTATTTGGCTCTTGCTTCTGACTATCTTGGGCACGTTCGTTGGCGGCTTTTTTTTGGATATTTCAATTTTATTTGATTCATTTTTGGCTTGCGAAGGTCCGATTTCTGGTTTCTCCTTGTTAAAATTGTTACTTCTATCCGAACACTCTTTATCTGTCGAAGTAGAAGGTTTTTCTGATCCATCATTATTTTTAATACTCGCAGAATTAGAGCTTTTCATAATATCACTATCATTTTCGCTATCTTTAGTGTAGTTTATTTCTTTACCTGGTAGCTCTTGACTTGAGGAACTAGACCGAGATATACTTTTTTGCGAAAACATTCCACAAAATGTTTCTTTGCCAGTAGACGTACTCGGTAAAATTTCAGTTTCTTCGTGACTTGTACTAGGCTGAGAAAAATGTGACTGTTTTTTATGAGAAGACGACATATTTCTGTTTGAAGGATTATCGTCCTCTGTCGCCGCATTCCCAAAATTGCCGCGTCTATTTAATAGATTTGCCTCCATTTGAAAAATATAATCCAAATTTAGTTTTCCCAATACGTCTTCTGACAGATCATAATACTGTCTTTCGGGATTGTCGAGGAAGGTTTCAAAGTCGACTCTCAGATGCAGAAGTGAAAATTCGGAATTCATTGAGGTGTCTGTTATGATTACTGCGTATGTGGCGTCCATAACTTGAACTTCAGAATGAAACATTAGTTTGGCATGTCCTTGGGATAATCTGAAAAAAAAAACATATATTGGAATATGTTTAAATCAAATTATAGTAATACAAAAATAGAAAAATTGTTTATGAACGTCACTTATCTTTGCGTGTAAGTATATTTATTTTTAGCACTTATATAGTATAGTAGGTCAAGAGACATTCCTGAACTCGGTTTAGCAATTTTGTAGGATACCTGAGAATAATACAAGTTCAAATTTCATACCTGATTAAACTCTCCAAGAGACGTATAGTTGTCCTGGATCTGTTTATGTTTTTACACCTTCTTTGAAGCTGATAATACCGTCTCAAGATTACTTCTGCTTCATTGGTCAATTTGGGATTTTGCTTCCTTATGCTAGCGTAGTAGGCCTAAAAAGGTTGACGTTATGTGTGGTGGTAATTAATTTCCACAGATTATATAAGATATACGAGGTGACAATTTAAAAAGTAGCAATCGGGAATATCTCTCCGACAAAAATACTATCAGAAAGATCTCAAATATGTATCGGGGGATTGGAGGGGGAACCAAAATGAGGCACTTTTTGAGTCACCTTGCCTCACCCCTTAAAGGGTAGCTACCCTAACTTATTTTATTTTCTTAAACGAACCTACCTTGTGTTGCACCATCGTTGGATAGCTCGTGGCTTCCCCTCTACGGTCTTAAAGCAAAATCTTAAATCGTACGATTAGTTTTTGAGATATCGGTGTTTAAAAGAGAAGCACATTTTGAAAACTAGTAATTTTGACTATCTCTTGGACGAAAGAATTCTGCCATAAAAGTCTCGAATACACATCGGCGAAACCAAATAATGTGTTTATGGTAATTCTATCTGCTTCCGCACGTCTCTAAACAGGAATAAAAAACCTTTTATCATCACACGGGGAAGGTTCTCATTTTAGAAAAGTTATTAGGAGCAGCTGGTCCCCAAGACGAGGGGTGGGGGTTAGGTAATGAGCACATTTGGTTTCCCCGATGTGTATTTGAGAATTTTCCCACAGAATTCTTTTGTCTTAAGAGAGAGTCAAAATTACTAATTTTGAAAAAAATGCTTACCTACTTAAACACAGATATTTCAAAAACTAATCGTCCGATTTGAGATTTTACTATATAACTGTAAAGGGATAGCTACGAGCTATCGAACGATGTGCAACACAAGGTAGGTTCGTATCTCAAAAAAAAAAAGGTAGGGTAGCTACCACCCAAGGGGTGAAGCGGGGTAACTCAAAAAGTGCCTCATTTTGGTTCCCCCTCCAATCGCCCGATACGTATCTGAGATCTTCCTGATAGTATTTTTCGTCTAAGAGATATTCCCGATTGCAACTTTCCAAATTGTCACCCTGTATATCCTGTAAGTATATCCTATTGTGAAACACGAAAAAACGGAATTCTAACCTGTAGTATTTCAAGATCCCAAACATTCTTGTCTTTATCAGGATCTAATCTTTCTTTCAATAAATGTTGGGCTATCTTGCGATCTCCATTTTCCTCTACTGCATCTTTTACCAGTAAAATTATGTCAAATCTGCTAAGCAACGCGCTAGACATTGCCACATTTACTGCCAGGGGTTGAGATGGTTGTCGATTGGATTTCGGGTTGCAGGCTGCTAGTATGGAGCAGCGGGTTTTCAGTTTACAGACAATACCAGCCTGAAAATGTATTGTTCATAGTTGACTAGTCATGAGAAGTTATAGAAAATCATGAATGGATAAGATTTAAATTAGACAACGCATTGGTATTTTTAATACTAAAGAAAATCTGTGTAGAGTGCAGAGCTGTATAATTGAAGAGATTCTGCGAGGCGAAGTTGTGAATGAATGAATACCAATCTTCTATAAAATATGTATTAGGATGTGTTATTGATGCACCCACCACCCGATTTCTTGCTATGGTTGGAATTCGTGTATCTACAATAAAACCAAGAGAAAAATATTTTTCTAAGATTGATTTCCATAGGACTTGTGTCATTACGTTAGATGTTACTAGCATATTTTTGTGTGCTCGTCAGGTTGTGATAGTAGAACTTAATTCATATCACGTTATTACTAGATAGTTAAATAGCACCACAATGATCATATTGTCACGCACTCCCACACTGCCACTACGATTATTAATTTATTCGCGTGAAATTCTCACTAACTGATTCTTGACATCTGACGTCTAATTTATCACTGACTTTTTCTCTCAGTAGCTGACTAAAATTCGAATCGCGAATTTCTAGTCATCGGGCAGTGTCGCAAGATTGTGCAAAATTCCTCCAACTTTTTATATTCTTGCCTCTGCATGGCCTTTCTACGTGTTGGCTTTGCTTGCGGAAAAAGTTGAATCCAGTGCAGCACAATTTTGATTTTGGATCGATTTGACGATCCTGTATGGTATGGGTATGGCCCTTCTCACAGCCTTTGTAATTTCGAGTTTAGTCCCTGATTTCGCTGTGGCTGATACCAACAGACGGCGTCGCCGTGCATCGAAGCCCTTTTTTCATTCTATCGCTGCTCAGACGTTATCAGGATGGGGATTCTAATTGCTCGAAGTCGAAGGATGCGACTCGGAAATAACGTGGATGTTGCCTATACGAGACGCTCGACTCGTGTCGATTAGTGAAATTGTAATCAGACTGCTGGTCCTGGCAAAATCGTGATATCAGCCACTAGAAGAACATTCTTCATCGGCTAGTGGTCTACCGGACGACCGGACAGCTACGAGAAGCTTCATTTCAGTCAACAGCATCGATGATGTATAGCCCGTGGATTACTGCTGAGAGCTTCTTCCAACCTTCGACTTAAAGTTTTCCACTGAGCGCTAAGAAGTTCCATCGGTCCCCATGTCTGGCAATATTGTTTTTCAGTACTGCTTCAGCAACTGTAACCGCTTCTTGATTGGGACCTGGAACCGTTTCTGGCCTTGAAAAATAGTCGATAGCAACTATAAGTACTTGTTGCCTGAATCTCTTATAGCACAAAAAAGACATTTTCCCTCAAAATCGTGTCCTGGGTTCTTACTCGAAGCACAGCATTTTTTGCACCATTCTTGATCATCCCTACGTTAGTTGAGCCAGTTTTCTCTCTCCTACTCGAGCCACCGGCGTCTTAATGACTTCGAAGTAGCCACCACTCCGACTACTGTGCGGTTCAAGTAGCACTCTCTCCTCTTTGGTTCGTGGCACAACGTTCTGGGCCGATCCTCGAGCCAGGGAGTAGAGCTCCTCGAGAGAACAAGTTTTTCGTCTTTATCATTCTCATTTACTTTTTGATTACGTTGACAAAGACAAAACATTCGTTCTATCGGGGAGCTCTTCTCCCTGGCCCGAGGATCGGGCTTCTGCTGATATACTCGAATTTTCCCTTTCGGACTCTCCCATTGACGAGTCATTCAGGCACAACGAAGTTGGTGCGAACTGCAAATGCTTTGCAAGCATTTAAAGATCCTTGAGAAACCGGCAATGGTAACTGCAGGGTCCTAGCAAGCATCTCATTTCATGTTTTTTCTATGGTCACAGATTACTTACATACAGATGCGAAAGAGCGGCGAATTCATGGTTCAAGATTAATTTGAAAAACATAGGCTGGCCGCACCAATGCCGTATCAATGTATTTTGAACATATTTATTATATAAATGCGGAAGCTCAATAATATAATATTATTTCTTTAATTGGTTCACAAACAGCAAAAAAAATATTCTTTTTTACCCGCAAAAATATGTAAACACACAGGCTGAAACATGCTCACGCACCCGGCCACGTTAATTGTCCTGACGCGGACGAACTGTATCAATGCGTCAAGGCGCTGGCTCCCTGGCTTCGTCACAGAATATCGTCGACGGCAAGTATACGCACTTACGCATCTGTATTAGGTGATCTGTGCTATGGTCTAGGTCAATCTCGTACTGCATGGACTTTTCCTGGATCTGTGTCTGTCCATCTTGAAGAAACCACATGTTCAAGGAATTTCAAGTCACGATTTTCGAACTAACATTGCATTAATTTTCAATTAAAAAAAAAATTACCAGGATTTTTTTTGTGATTTATGTTCTTGCTCTCGTGTTCCTAAAGATCTTTTTGTCTCTCCTATATATGTTTGATTCTCCGCATTTGCAGGGTACCTTGTTAATACAATTTCTGGTTTTTTTTTTTGCTAGGACGAATAACTGTCACGGTTGAGTTGAACTAAGATTGTTCTAGCATTGTATTTTCGACCAATTCTTTGAACTTTCTCTGCGAGTCCTTTGATGTATGGGGAGTCTTAGTGTTGGCCCCTCTTGTTCTTGGTTTTCTTTCATGCATGTTTCTTTTCTGGAGAATTTTCTGCATAATAGTTTCCGAGTAGCTATTTTGTGTTAGATGTTTTTTGATGTTTGTTTTTTTCAATTGCTGTATCCTACCTACCTTGATATTGCATATCATGTTCTGATCTATCCAATAATGCATTGATGACCTCCTGTTTTATCATTTGACTGTGGTTGAGAATTTAGATATCCTTCTGTGTGGGTACACGAAAACATATAGTTACCCCCTTCTGTTAACAATTTAACAAGAGGCCCATAATATGCTCAGTTTGCTCAGCGAATAATTATTAGGGATGGGTCAATAGTTTGATAAGTACAGAAAAAATTAATTAAAGTAGATGAAATATTGAGGTGTGAAAATTCGGAAAAACACCTAAAAAAAAATAATCAGCAAAAGGTAATTGACAATTCTGAAAAGGAAAAAAAAATAGGGCATATAACTCAACCAAATCTTGACACAGGTAAACCAATAAAACAATTGAGTAAAGTTCAAATCAAATTAGTGTATATTTTCAGTCAGGTTAAAAATCAAGCATTAAATTTTTAAAGATAAAATCAATTGTTGGTGGAACACTTTAAATAAATTTAATAAAGGATGAATGAATGGAAATTATAATGGATCAAAATGGTCAGCTGCTGCCAGAAAAATAAATTCAATAAAATTAACTTACACCTGTATGAAATCAAAAGTTGGGTTAAATGGTCAGGAGATATAATAGAATATATGAGTTTATAGGACCCAGGTTAAAAATTCATCAATTATTGACGATGTAGGTACTTACTCTCAAAAATTTTAAAGGTAGAGCATGTTGTCCAACCTTGATTTCAGTTCAGATTATGGATTATGAATAATAAAATTTACATTCCTAAAACATAGCAATATTAAAAGTTAAGTAAAGATAAATCTATAATAAATTCGATTAATCAAAAATTGGAAATAATTATTTAAAGTTCACTTGGGTGTCAAGAATGTGATGAATGAAATTTAAATTTTAAATGTCGGTAAAAATTCAATCAATTATGGTGATTGATCATAAAATAGATTTCATAAAAAAGGTAATAAAAGTTATAATTGAAACTCTATTCAAGCCTCAATTCCAACAAAAAGGTAGAGTACGGTAGTCGATAGCCCATCCACGTCCGTCACTTGACGAGGGAAGTTGCAAATGGAAGTTGCAGATTCTAGCCTGGAATCAAGGCTAGAAGTTCAGGTTTCTTCGTCAAATGTGGAGGTACACGTATCGACACGTGAGGGACATTACTTTTAAAAAAAAAAAAAAAAATACTTACCACGATGAGGGGGTTCGAAGTTCAAACTCAAATAAAACGCTAAACATAAGACTTTCGATAATAAATTTTTCGGTAATTAAAGGATTATTGCCTTACGCAACTTTATTTCGTTAAAATAGTGCCTGATGGCCGATAAGGTACTTTTTTCCACGAGAACGGTACCAGGATCGACCTTTCAGCTCGAACAGCAAATTTTAAACGGGCTGAGGAAAGAAACGGACAAGATTACACAAGATGAATAGGCAGAGCTTTCCCTCAAAAAATAGCCAACGGAAAGCGTTGGTACTAAATTAGTACTTTAAACTTAAACGAAAATCGTACCCTCTAGTTTAATAATTGCTCATATTATTAGCAGCAGAAACCTTTTTTTTTAATGCTATTCACCAGACTGTCAACACTAAAGGTAATATAAAATTATGTATATTTGAAAGAAAAAAGAACAAGTAGCATTTGCAAAGCTACACCATCAGTTCATAAAAAAAAAGGTTGAATCTTAGATTACAAAAATGTTTAGACCAAAACATTATACGCCCGAGCAATTCTCCTTGGTCAGCACCTTTTTCGGTAGTCCCAAACAAGATGCTTCTGAAATACATAAATGGAGAGTAATCAAAGGTCTTAATGACAAAACCCCCTACCAAACAGGGCAGTTCCAATACTTCAAAACCTATTTGGTCAGTATAGAGTCCACCAGATACAAATGAATGAAAGGGATATCGAAAAAGAAACATTTAATACAGAAAATGGCAATTTCGAATTTTTACGAATACCATTTGGACTCACAACACAAACGCCCCTGTGACGCTTCAAATAGTGATGGATAGAATTTTACGCAGAACTTAAAATGAAAAATGCCTGGTTTACCTTGATGGTTTTTCCAAAGATTAGGAGAAACTAATGTTAAGATTCGGTTAGGTGAGAGCGAATTTCTTAGAGAAAAAGAAGCCTATTTAGAGCAGGTACCACCTGAAACAATAAAACCTAACCCAGATGAAGTCAATACAATCAAATAATACTACCCTATACCAAAAACAACCAAGCAAATTAAAAGACTTCTCATATTATTATCGACGCTTCATCAACAACATTGCGAAATTGACAAAACTATAAAGAAATTAAATGTTTGAAAAATGTAGCAAAAATCGAACGAGTGCTTTGAGAAGTGTAAAACACTATTTAAACATGAGCCAATATTGCAATACCCACTCTTTTCTAACGCCTTCAACTTGACCTGTGACGCTAGTAATATAGCATTGAAAACTTTACTATCGCCAGGACCTATAATATATAGGTCAAGATTTGCTATAGTAGCACACGTATCGCGTACGTTAAATGACTGAAAATTGGTCTCTCATTGAAAAGGAATTTTTATGCCTAGAATGGGCAAAGAAGTACTTTAGACTCTACCTATACGGACGAAAATTCAAGATCTTAACTGATATAAACTTTCACGATGGCTTTTCAACTTGAAAGGTCCCTGCTCGAATCTTAGTACGATGACAAATGGAATTACAAAAATGACACACATGACCATATAAAAAGGGCAAACTCAATACTAATGCTGACGCACTAAGTCGTATTGAGTTACACACAAAGGGTGCCGCTAACATACCAAACTTCGTCTCGTATATCGAGGAATTTCATAGGGAACAAGAGAACCAGGCCATCCTTATCAACAAACAACAGAAACATAATAATTCATACTTGATAAAAATAACTTAGACCAAATCTCAACCCGGACACGACCGGACCTTGAACCTCTTACACTCGACTCGGACGGAAATGAAATCGTAAACACAAACAACGAACAAAATTCCCTATCATGGAATCAGCAGTTACATACGGCGCTGATCAAGTAATTATTAACAATATCTTGTATTCACCCACAAAAACAATACTTTTTTTTTTGAAGGAAAATTTGACCACTGAAAAGCGATATTCCATTTACTTCGAGAACCCAGACACATGAATAAAAATTATTATGAGAGGAAAGGGAGAAGGAATTGGACGGAGCGACGAATCAATTCAATCCTTAATCAATGAATATGCCACAGAAGCAAATATAAATGCCATCCAATAAATAAATAAATAAATAAATAAATATAGCCTTTATTTGAAAGTAAAGGAACAAATATATAGAAGAACGAATCGTAGGTCAAGAATGGCGCAATCTAGCTTTCAACAGCTACTTTACTAAACCATCCTAGAACCCGTAAGACAATTAGATAGTGAATTGCGCCCTACATGCACGTACAAAGAATAATTTATAGGCGAAAAAAATTTGATAAAGCGATAAAAGTGACCAGATGAGAAAGAGAGATAAACTCCAAACTATGATTTAAATGCATCAGCATCAATGACATCAGAAAAATAAAATTAAAACGAATTGAATTTACAAATTACTACATATACGGTTCTGGATGATACTTACTTGTAATATTTTGCAAAATTAATTTGTTTTTACGCAAGTTCTCTATTGGCTAGAAGTTGAACCTGGGCGATTTGGAACGATTTTAAGCTGGAAGTAATCAATTTGTGTACTAACTTAAAAATGTGTACAAAATGTCAAATGGTTACTTTTGAATTTTGAGCCACTTTTGTCAGTAACCGTTGATCTGGGCACAATCAAGCTTGGGTTGAACTACGTTAGTAAGCTTATGGGTAGAGAACACTTTAAAATGAATTTAATATTTTTAAGCAGAATACTGTACCTACTCAGTTTTTTTAAGGTCAATCTAATTTGACCTGATCTACAATAATATTGAAAACATTTGTTCAAAATCCGATTTTATTGAAAAAGTCAATTGTTTGATTCAATTCGACAACATTCAATAAATCTCAGAAATACTCGCTTCAATCAACATGAGTTGTAAGAATGATGCAAGAGTTGGTCTCTGCAGGGATTGAGTAGGTGGCTTAACTATAATACGCTCAGTTATATTGTCTACAACGTTACGTTATAATTCCGGAAAAGTCACCTTCAAAAAATGCTTACCTTTGCTACGCTTATCGTCTGCTGCTCCATAGCTTCGTGAATACTGGTTCTGTCATGTTCTCTCATCGAATTGAACTCGTCTATACAACATATGCCACCATCTGCCATCACTAGAGCACCAGCCTCTAATTGCCAATCCCCATTATCCTAAATAGGTACATGAAAGCACGTGAGAGTCCATTCACAAGCACGAAATAAACTGAAATCCAGCATTCGTATTGTGTTCATAGGAAAACCACAACAGATATCAATTTCCAGTAGGAAAATATTAAAAGATAAGACGTTGTTCTGAAGCTATATGATATTCTTACACAATTACATTGTACATTGGTGTGGAGAAGCCGACCCCATGACCTGAGCGCGAATATTCAGGAATCCGTTTTCATTTGTGGTTTAAATGAACAAGAATTTACGTAAATTCGCGTCTGAATGAATGGTTATGTTCGAGTTGGATGGCGCGGAAAAACGACGTTTTTCTATAGCATTTTACATTATCCATAATTGCTTCACGAAAACTTTATAAACATCTGGACCGCATGCCGAGCTTTACCAAAGTTCGCGCCTGAAATGGCTCGCGCAGCAATTTAAAAGTTTTTGTCGCGCGAGCTTGGAAAATATCATCAATTAACAAGAAGAGGAAGCTCGAAAACAGAACAGAAACGGCTTGCAGCACTTTGTTCTTGAGAAAAACAAGAAGAGAGTTTAGACAGGAGAGAAAAGGATGTGTGTGTGGAGTGTGCCCTCTTCCACGTATTGACGAATTTTTTGCGAACCTCAAGGGAAGTAAATACTTTAGTAGCTTAGATTTAGCCAGCGGATATTACCAGTTGCAACTAGAAGAGCCTTTAATTCCAAAAACGGGTTTCGTAACGCCAGTTGGGCACTACGAATATCTAAGAGTTCCCTTTGGTCTGTTTTATGCACCCTCAGTATTCGTCAGGGCCATAAACAAAGTACTGGATAATCTTAGATACGGCAAAGCATTGGCATATATGGATGACGTCCTGACCATCCTCAACCTTTGAAAGTGGATTGTCAAATCTGAGAGAAGTTCTCGATTCGATGAGAAATGCTGGTCTTAAGCTAAGACTATCCAAGTGCCAGTTTTTCGTGGAAAGGGTTGATTACTTGGGCCATGAAATATCCAGTCAGGGAATTCAACCAGGAAAAAGCAAAGCTGAGGCAGGAGAAAAGTTTCCTGTACCAACGGATGCTCGCACGGTGTGGAAGTTCTAAGGACTTGCTAGTTACTTCAGGAAATACATTAAAGATTTTGCGCAACGATAGCAAGACCTTAAACTGTCTTAACGAAAAAAGACATGGTGTTTACATCGGGTTACGAACAAAGTATAGCTTTCGAAACCCGCAAGAGTGAACTTATAACACGACCGATGCGTTGCTAGCCATCTACGATCCTGATTTGAAGACTGAATTTCATACAGACGCGACGAAATGGGGAGTTGGAGGAATCTTGCTACAAACACAAAAAGATGGAAGCTTAAGACCTGTCATGTACTTCTCAAAACAAACAACGAAAGAGGAGCAACGTTACCACTCCTACGAGTTGGAAACCATGGTTGAAGTCTTCTCGTTAAAAGCATTTCGAATTTACCTAATAGGCATTGAGTTAAAGGTAGTCACTGAGTGCAATGCCATAAGAATGACTTTGTCAAAACGTGATTTGGTTCTAAGAATTGGTCGGTGGTGGCTAAGCATACAGGAATTTAAATTCAATGTTGAATATCGACCAGGACAACGCATGTCACATGCAGATACCTTAAGTAGAAATACAATATCTTCAGATATTGCTGCATGCACAGTAAATGTATTCAACACAGATTGGGTGTTAAGTGCTCAACTGGCCGACGAAAGATGTGAATATTTAATTGAAGTTCTAAAAGAAACACCGAGCGACAAGAAGGAAAAGGACGTCCATAAGAATTTTTGCTTAGTGGAGAACCGGCTGTATAAGAACACCGAAGATGGTAAAATATGGGTAATTCCAAAAAGCTGCCCGAAAATAAGTAGTTTACATTTTTATGATGGGGAAGGTCACATGGGTCTTGATAAAACGCTTTCCACAAAATTGAAGTTCTACTGGTTCCCAGGTATGGGTCGATATGTCAAGAAATACATATCATACTGCCTACCATGTCTATATAACAAGAAGCCAGGTGGAAAGAAGCCGGGAGTTTCACACCCCATAGAAAAAATTGCTGTGCCAATGTATACTATTCACGTGGACCACTTGGGTTCATTTGTGAAATCCAAGAGGAAAAATGTGTATCTGATTGTAGTATTGGAAGCGTTTACGAAATTCGTTTTCATGAAAGCGGTTCATTCAACGAAGACTTAACCATTGATAAATTTCATGAATAGCATAGTTGATAATTTTGGGGTACCTAGGAGAATTATTTCTGATAGGGGCAGTTCCAAAAGTACTGTCAGGAATTAAATATTAAACACATACAAAACGCAACTGCCACCGCTAGAGCGAATGGCCTGGTTCAGAGGTACAACCGCACCATTGGGGGTTGAATGCTAAGAAGAATGCATCCACCGGAAAGTCACCATACGAGTTGCTGTTTGGGTATACACCAAGAAGTGTGAGGAATTCTGTTTTGTCTAAAGAAACCAATATCGAGCCAACCGAACCACGAGATCTAGAAAAATTACGAACGAACGCAAAAGTTCAAATAGATGTCAAACAGGGCCGGCAAAAGGCCACGTTTGAGGCACATAGAAAGCCCAGCCCAACCAGTGTTACAAGGAGGGTGGTCAAGTTTTAGTACGTACGTACGCTACGAATAGTCAGGTTCAGAGCAAGAAACTGTTGCCAAAGTATACTAGCTCCAACGTTATCACGAAGACGTTAGATCATGATCGCTATGTAGTTGAAGACTTTTAAAGGGATCATCTCGATCGCAGCGACGATACAAGGGAATAGTTTCTATTGATAAGCTCGAGCTTTTCAATATAGAGGTCAGTTCAGACTCCGGAGAAGAGTCCGACTACGTAGACCTAAACAGCGGAAATGCATACGAAGAGTCTGAGGTGGTATCAGTGGCATATGAACATGATCCTTAGATTAGACTTTTATAATGCATGATTTTGGAAAATTCGGTTTTGGGAAGACCTAGAACAAAGTTTATCAGTATCAAGTTTTGAGAAGCTAACACAAGAGGGGGCAGACGTCAACCGGCAAGCGAGGAGGCAACAACGGGTCGTGCAGTGCTATTATTTCTTTAAATAAAATTGTTCTGTTTGTTATAAACTTTTGTTCATTAAATCCAGTAGATTATTATATATAGATTAAAATATATAAAAAATAAAAGATTAAAATACATAAAAAATATATTATTCCAAGAGATGAACTCAATATAGTGACATATTGGCTCTCTTAGAGACATCGTTACTGTAAAAAAGAAGATTGTACTTTGATCTATGCACATTGTTCAGGGGTTTGAATGGTTTCCTTGTTTTGCCGGCATTGTTGCAACTAATTAATTTTCAGATGCCAACAAGACAAACTCGACTAATTATAACCTTTGGTGTAGCCTCTAATGTAACAAATTATGGTTTTTATTCACTTGAATCTAGAATATGCAGAGAAGCAAATAGGCTTCCACCTACTGTTGATTTTTTCAACTCCTTTCTCAATGAGTTTAAGATAGATGTTAAGAATTATTTAAGCTTAATGTTATTGTTAATGGTCTTTGATCGTTGATAAATTATTAAATAATAATAAACTATTATTATTATTATTATTATTATCAAAATCCCATATTTCAAAAACTACAAGTATCATAAATGCAAATAAATGTAGGATAACAATCCGATATGCTCTTGAAAAATGCATTTTGCAATAAAATAATAACATTTTTAATGCGCTAAACGTGCCTTAAATCGCGCAAATGACGAAAGCGTTCAACCACACTATTAATAATTAATGGTTATAGCGAGATAAGGTTTTTCTAAAAATATTGTGAACTTTCGTAATTAAAAATATGAATCACTCCAGAATAATAATTGAAAAGATGACTATGAAAATATGATAATTATGGATTTTAAATTATAGGATTCACTGAACCTACTAGCAGAGTAGCACATCATTGTCGAACTTTGATTGATCACATCATAAGCAATGTCAAAAACTCAGAAATTGCCATACAATTTTTTGACATGAATATGGTTGACCACAAAATACAGCTAGTGAAAACAAAAAAAAGTACAAAAACTTCCCAAGATCACACCAGAAATATAATATCAACAAGGAGAAGAGTCTGAGAGGAAAGTGTTAATTTGGAAATAACAGGGCCAGTAAATTGTTTCTTATTTAGCCAATGGCAACTTTGACAGTGAATATCTTGAGAACTAATCATTCGATTTTCAAAAAAAAATACGCACTTGTGACGAGAATCAAAATATGTAACTTTAAAACAAGGTACCACTCGACTCATCTTCCCTATCTAAAAAAGAGTGGTGAAAGCAAGTGGAGTCATCCCACACAGGGGGTGCACCTTAGCGAAATACCGATGGGGTCAAAAAGTTTTCCCCTTGAATACAAAATTGACGTTTCCAAGCGTTTTTTTTTTTTTAATCGGACTTGAAATTTCCATAAAACGGCTCTGTTTCGATGTTCGTGAAACACACTGTATAACTTTTGCGGACTATACAGTGCTTCTCCTTCAATGAAAATGCTTAAGGTCACTGGAAGTGAACAAATGCCTTTATACCTACTATATGTGGCTACACCTAATCATTTTTCTGGAAACATACAAGCTATATTACATTGATATCATTGTTTTAAGTGAAACCTTTAAAATTGATTCTATCGAAAACTCTAATATCCCGAACTATCAAAATTTTTATAACCAGGAAAAAAACAATTAAAACGACTGAACAATAATACTAGTTAAAAGTCATATCAATGTTGATTTCTCATTCTTTGTTCTACCAAACGCTATAATTAATAACAAGAATAAAATTTCAAATGCAAAACGTCTTTGGACTGACAACAAATCACCACCTATCTCAAAAGTAGATTTTGTGAATGAATTATATGCTGACCTAGAACCCTCGCTAGAATCCTTAAACAGTCTCTATATTGAAATATTCACTGAGTTCACGTTAGTAACAAGGTGAAC